TTTCTGTTGTTTGCAATTCATCATTTTACTGGATTTTTTTTTTTTTTTTTAATTTTTTCTGCCCTTTAACACTGTTTGGTTGCGGAGAAAAACTAGGAAATGGGGAAGAAAACTTGGGAAAGACCCTGTTTAGATGAGCCTTTGTTGCGTCACCTTCTTTTTGGTTGCTGAGATAGTTGCTGAAAAGATCATAGAATTTGAAAAAATCTGTATGTTTTTAATTTCTTAAAAGAATTTTCTTAACGTTATGTCTCGTAATCTCTCTTACACGGTTTTCTTTTTTTAAAGATTTTCCTGCATTTTCCGAGGAACCAAACGGCTGATTATGTGGGGATTTCTACCTTTTGCAGTGTTCAAGCTTGTAGATCTGAAGCTTTGAAGAAAGGGCATCAGTTTCTTACCCAAAAGTAAATTGTAAGCCTTCTTGTCATCTTCGTCTTCTAGGGTTTTGGACTGAGTTTGCACTTTTGCTTTTTGATTTTCGCCGTTTTGGGTTTTAATAAAGGAGCCTTGTTTAATGCGTACTTTGACTCGGTTCTCGATTCTGTATGTTATTTATCTGTTAAAATATTTTGTTTTTCTTTTGAATGTTTGAATGTTTGAATGTTTGGATATTGGTTTTCGTATATTTTTCTGTTTCCCGAGCATATAGGTGACTCTGTTTTCTATTAACGGCTAATTAAAATGAATCTCCCTTTAAATTTGAACCCCATTTCTTTATTGTGTAACAAACATTGATTAACGGTTCATCTTCAACCTCAGGTTTTGGTTTGGTGGTCATCTTGGTACGGACCTCACATGATGCATAGGCCTCCTATGGAAGATTTTACCCTTAAGGAGACCAATCCTCCTCTTGGTGGGGGGAAGGTCACTGGGGACAAGCTGACAAGCACTTATGACCTTGTAGAGCAGATGCAGTATCTCTATGTTCGGGTTGTGAAGGCAAAAGACTTACCTGTGAAAGATGTTACTGGGAGTTGTGATCCTTATGTTGAGGTTAAACTTGGGAACTATAAGGGTACCACTACGCATTTTGAGAAGAAATCAAATCCTGAGTGGAATCAGGTGTTTGCTTTCTCCAAGGACAAGATTCAGGCTTCGTATCTTGAGGTTGTTGTGAAGGATAAAGATTTTGTGAAGGATGACTTCATGGGTAGGATTGCTTTTGATTTGAATGACATTCCTAAGAGGGCTCCACCTGATAGTACATTGGCACCTCAATGGTACAGGTTGGAGGATAGGAAGGGGGATAAGGTTAAGGGAGAGTTGATGTTGGCTGTTTGGTGGGGAACCCAAGCAGACGAAGCGTTTCCTGATGCATGGCATTCGGATGCAGCTGCTGTTAGTGGAACTGATGGTCTTGCGAATATTCGGTCAAAGGTGTATCTCTCTCCGAAACTTTGGTATTTGAGGGTTAACGTGATCGAGGCACAGGACTTGCTACTAACTGATAAGGGTAGGTACCCTGAAGTGTTTGTGAGGGCTAGTCTGGGAAATCAGGTTTTGAAAAGTAAGGTTTCTCTAAGTAGGACTATTAATCCAATGTGGAATGAGGATTTAATGTTTGTTGCCGCTGAACCATTTGAGGACCGTCTAATTTTGAGTGTTGAAGACAGAATTGCACCTAACAAGGAGGAAGTCCTGGGAAATTGTGTAATTCCCTGGCAATATGTTGACAGGAGGTTTGATCATAAACCTGTCAATACGAAGTGGTTTAATCTCGTGAAGCATGTTGGTGAAGGAGAAAAGAAGGAGATTAAGTTTTCCAGCAGGATTCACTTGAGGATCTGTTTGGAAGGTGGTTACCATGTGTTGGATGAGTCAACGCACTATAGCAGTGATCTTAGGCCTGCAGCTAAACAGTTATGGAAAAACCACATTGGGGTCCTGGAATTGGGAATTCTGAATGCACAGGGCTTGATGCCAATGAAGCCGAAAGATGGAAGGGGGACAACTGATGCCTATTGCGTTGCAAAGTATGGGCAGAAATGGGTTCGTACTAGGACAATTATAGATAGCTTGACACCCAGGTGGCATGAACAATACACATGGGAGGTTTATGATCCTTGTACTGTCATCACCATTGGTGTTTTTGATAATTGCCATTTACACGGAGGAGATAAGTCTGGAGGGGCCAGGGATTCCAGGATTGGGAAGGTAAGAATTCGTCTTTCCACTCTTGAAACGGATCGAGTTTACACACACTACTATCCACTTGTGTTGCTTCAGCCCAATGGGGTAAAAAAAATGGGTGAGATTCAATTAGCTGTGAGGTTCACTTGCATTTCATTGCTCAATATGATGCATATGTACTCCCATCCCCTGCTGCCAAAAATGCACTATCTTCATCCACTAACTGTTACCCAGCTTGATATCTTGAGACACCAGGCTACACAGATTGTTTCAATGAGGCTGAGTCGGGCCGAGCCACCATTAAGGAAAGAAGTGGTTGAGTATATGCTGGATGTTGGTTCTCATATGTGGAGTATGAGAAGAAGCAAAGCAAATTTCTTCAGGATTATGGGGGTTCTAAGTGGAGTGATTGCTGTTGGAAAATGGTTTGATCAGATTTGCAACTGGAAAAACCCCATCACAACTGTATTGATTCACATCTTGTTTGTCATCCTTGTCCTTTATCCTGAGCTTATTTTGCCTACAATATTCCTCTACCTCTTCTTGATTGGAGTTTGGTATTATAGATGGAGGCCAAGGCATCCTTCTCATATGGACACTCGGCTCTCTCATGCAGATTCTGCACATCCTGATGAGATGGATGAGGAATTTGACACATTCCCAACTTCTCGTCCTAATGAAATTGTGAGGATGAGATATGACCGGCTGAGAAGTATTGCTGGCAGGATTCAAACTGTGGTTGGTGATCTAGCTACACAAGGTGAGAGGCTGCAATCTCTGCTAAACTGGAGAGACCCGAGAGCCACAGCTCTGTTTGTGATTTTCTGCCTGGTTGCTGCTATTGTTCTGTATGTTACACCCTTCCAGGTTGTGGCCCTTCTTACAGGATTTTATGTGTTGAGACATCCCAGGTTCCGGCATAAGCTTCCATCGGTGCCACTCAATTTCTTCAGGAGGTTGCCTGCAAGAACCGATTGCATGTTATGAATAAGAGCAATTTTATGTGACGTTTCTTCCTAGTGGTTTATCGACTTTCTTGTTAATTCAATGAAGAAAGGTGCAGAAACAAATGAAGATTGTTTCTTTCCTATGTTTAGTCGTGGATGTTGGTTTCTGGTATGCTGTGTATGCTTCCCCTGAAGGTAGTAGATTGTGTATCCTTCCCCTGAAGGTAGTTCATTTATGTTATCTATAAGATTTCTGTTTCAAACTTTGAGTTTGTGATGATCAATCAATGTTCATTGTAATGCCTTAGGTTGTGAGTGATTGCAATTTAATGCATGTTAAACGCAGCTTCCCTTTCCCATGCTTTATTACATCTAGCAACTGCAGTATCATATTGCCTCTTGGCTTTCTGGATTCAAGTAGGACTAACTGATTAGATTAGTCATACATGTTCTGATCGAAACTGACATAGATATTCTGCAACATTTATTGTATATGGTTCCTGTAGAATGTTGTGACAGTGATTATACATATTTTTATCCAGTTTGGTAGATGAATATGGTCATGACAGCGTCCAGAAAATGACAGAAACATAAATTTTCTAGTCCTTTGTATGCTTTAATTATTTCATTCATGTTGGTCTTGCTTTACTCATTGAATAAGTAGGGCATGCTTGTTCTTCCGCATTAAAATAGAAATTGCATAATAAATGCTGGACATGGACAGGATGAGGGTAAACTCTCTAAATCTACCTCTATTTTTTACTTGGTATATGCTTAACTGCTGCAAATGCTCGAATTTGACTTTAACCCTAAATCAAGGCTACGAAGTTAGTCGATACAAACTCGGCTAAGCCATTAGTAATGGACGTACATCTTGTTCATGCATTTGAATGAAATTTTATTTCTTTGTAAATGTGAATTCTGTGAATTGGGAATAGAAGACAAAGTCAGCGGTATATATGAAGCAGAAGCTGTAGAAAGTAAGCCATATATATCGGAGCTTTGTCTGATTTTCAACAGCAGGTTTTTGACTGATGGGAGCATTAAAAACGGTGATATTCTGTTTGTTGTGCAAAATTGGAGTCTTCGATTCTTGGAATTTTATTTTGTGTGTGTGTGTGTGTGTGTTGCTCAGTTTTAGAGATGTGGGGACCTTATCTCCTTCTTTGCGTGCCTCATTTCTCTTTCCTTTACAGCCTGTACTGGAAACGTGCTCTGCTTTCTTTCTCCCTTCTGCAGTTTTGTTGTTTTTTGGCTGCTCTTTTATCAACAAAGTTGTCTATGAAATAGCAGTAAAATTATGCAATTGTCTAAATCTGTGGTTGATTTCTCACTTTGGCAAAGAAGTTACCATATAGCTGTAATCTTAAATGTAGTTATTTTTTAAGAGCCAAAGTGTTTCGTAATTTAAACTATAAAACACGAGTTATTGGATAAAGGAGTTGACACTTCATGTGATAACTTTTGTTGTGATGCAATTTAGTGTAATTTTATTACACAACAAAATATTAATTACTTCCATTAAAAAAAAATGATGGGAGAATATCTTAGCTACTTATATCTTGAAAGGTTGTAGGCCATAGGCAAGCCTATGTTTTATTTTTGAAAAGCAAGTCATGTTATTAATACTCTATTGTGTCACATAAATGCATAATTTGACTTTGGAAGAAAGCAATGTTTTCAGTTGGTATGGACAATATTTTCAGGTGGGGTTAGGGCATCTCATCAATTTTGGGGACCATTGAGCTCAGACACTCCTGTTTTTTTAATGAGAGTTCTCATAAAGAAAAATTATAAAATTAGGTGTATATGTATCATTTATGAAAATCTAAATATAAATATTTTTGGGACACTGGGAGCGTGTTGAAACCAACCCTTGTGACTCTTTTCTTTTGTCGTATTTACAATTAAGATTTTCTTGAGTTAGTTTTACGACAACTCAACATCAATTCTTTTTCTTGTCATTTTAAAAGTATTGGTTAAGAAAATTAATTTTTTTAAATATATTAATTTTAAAATTTAAAATTTAAATCTAATTTTAAATATTTATAATGTATGAAAATATAAATATAAATATTTTTGGGACATTAGGAGCTTGTTGAAACCGACCCTTGTGGCTCTTTTCCTTTGTCGTATTTACAATTAAGATTTTCTTGAGTTTGTTTTATGACAACTCAACATCGACTCTTTTTCCTGTAATTTTAAAGGTATTGATTACAAAAATTAATTTTTTTAAATATTAATTTTAAAATTTAAA